ATATCAAAAAAGTACTCCAGAGTGTTGTTCAGCATGGGGGTGAGTAGAAAATGAAGGCTAATCATGTTTTGGGTGTACTATTCCTTTAACTGCCTTGCTAAGAAGAATGCAGGCTAGATGTTGACCAGTTAGTTAAAGGGTTAACCAGTCGGGGACTACATGCGGCTAAGCCAATGAAAAAAGAGCACTTTAAACCCTAGTTCTAAGTGAGGGCTGAACATGGTATTGGCTGTTATTGACAGTGGCATAGATACTGGCACTTACAGTGACATAAACATAGCGAGCAGAGTATTCACAGTGATAATAGTTCTGGGACAGAGCCGTTTTATGAGGTGGGGGATTACTCTCAAACTTCCAAAAAGAGGAAGGTTCTGTCGAGGAGACCAGCAGCCCAAAGTGATACATGTTGGAGCTCTTGACTTTACTTTTTGTATACATAATATATACAAAATGTGTACGCAGCTCTCATGACATTTCCATAGAGATTTCCGAACCACATTAGATTTAGTTTTAGGTTGGATACTGGATACCTGCGGTCTACAGATTCAGCAGCTTATTTTTCTTGTCTCTTGACCTGTTGACACAAAACCATTGTCAAAGTAGTCTATAATATAGACTGCATTTTGCTATACTCTATTAACCTTATTAAAATCATGTTTTATTTCCCCTTTCCATAATACAAAACCCCCCCATAATATTTAATTGGTTATGTCAAAATATGAAGTGAAACAATAGCAAAAAGCTGTTGCAATAACCCCGTTTAAATATAAGGAGGGGTACCAAAGAGGTGTTTTGGACAACAAAACAAGATTGCAAAAAATGTGCAGTATAATTTAGTCCTGTATGTGAGCTTAAAGAAAGCCACAGTAGAGACAACAAATATATCAGTTGCTTATACTGCCTCTGCAACCATCTTTAAATGAGCAGGAATCCTGTGAAATAATTCTTGGCACATCAGGATTCATAGGGATCACATTTGGGCAAATATACAAACACAGTGAGCAGGACAGCAGAGGGAAAACAGAAGCCCCTTACAGAGTGAGCCTCTCGTTCCATTTTAGGTTGGAGGAGCTTTGAGATTTGGTCGTGCGCCGGGTCTCTCCCTCTGCTGTCACCTCCACATAAATGGCAGCGCCGAAAACGCTCTTCTTTCTCTTGAGTTTGGCACATGAAACTAGAGAGGACATCAAGAAAGCAGCTAAAAATAAAACATGTTTTATAACCAGGAATATATTTTTGATGTGCTTTGACTCACCAATGGCATGGAGCTGGTATGTGTGTCTGTGGTTATGGCTTGTCTCTGCACTGGATGAGTCCGTGGCCATGTCATACAGTGGGAACACTTGTATAAAAACAACAGGCAACATCAAACATTAAACAGGCGAGCTGCGCAGGGTGCAATAGCTACTAATAATCAGAGGTCTTTTATAGTTGACTTTTGTAATCTCCAAAGTGTTACGAACATAATAAGCAAGCTTATTATGTTATTACAGTAAATGGTTGCGATACAATCGTGTTTTAAGACTAAATGTGAGATCAGCGTAATTAATTGATTGTGTTATCACTAATATGACAGATGGGTTTAGCTAGGCCCTCCTCATACAGCCCACTCTGTGTCTCATGGCTGCACTATATGTCATGATCTGGCCTGTTTGCTCCTCCTTAAT